CTGCCAAAGTTGGGGCATGCATGATATCCTTGGGAAACGAGTTCCAGAGTCGAGGGGCCACCACCGAGAAGGCCTTGCCCCTCGTCCCCACCAATCATGTCTGCGAAGGAGGTGGGAGTGCGAGCAGGGCCTCTCCAGATGATCGAAGAGATCGTGAGGGTTCGTACACAGAAATGCGGTCATGCAGGTAGGCGGGTCCCAAACCATTCAGGGCTTTGAAGGTAAGAACCTACAAAGCCCTGATTATCTGCAATGTGTCACTTCTAAACTATGCTCTTAGGGCCACCTTATAAACTTAAAACAAAAGGACTGTGCCTTCCCAGTGAAAGAGATGACTAGACCTTCTTAAACACACACATATTCATTGCTTCTGTAAACAAATGATGGGACCTTTGCCTAGGCAGCTCCCTGACGTCCTATTTTTCTGTTTGGGGGAGAACTACAGAAAACTTTCAACTAAACAAACTGCCACTGTGATCTCAATCTAAGTTGTAGCCTGAGCATATATCCATCCAGGATCCTGCTGATTCTATAAACAGTTTTTACATTTCAGAGCATTGTTGTAACTTTGGAAATTGGGAGAACAATGCTATTGTTGGACTGAGATACATATCATATGAAAAGATGTAGTATCAGCAAAACATTGTGATTGGATTTTGTTCATTTTCATGGTTTCCTCCTTTCTGTTGAAATTGTCCACATGCTTGCGGATTTCAATGGCTTCTCTGTGTAGTCTGACATGGTGGTTGTGAGAGTGGTCCAGCATTTCATGGTTCAGATATGTGGATGACACTTTCACTATTTGGAGCCATGGAGAAGAAGAACTCAACAGGTTCCTGGACCATCTTAACAGCATCCACCCAAACATCCGGTTCACCATGGAAAAAGAAAATTAAGGAAGACTGCCTTTTCTAGATGTCCTAGTCTTCCGCAAATTGGGAGAACAATGCTATTGTTGGACTGAGATACTTATCATATGAAAAGATGTAGTATCAGCTTTCCAAAACATTGTGATTGGATAAGAACTGACTTCGTAGAATGTGGAACTTGTTGGAGCAACGACTGTTCTTTTAATGTGCAGCAATGGAACAGATTGCTCATTGTAAAACTGCCTTGGAAGCCACCTTCTTGGGCATTCTAGCCACAGCCTCAACATGAACCGAGCTAGTGAGTTTTGTATAGCCTTTGGCTATCTCTTTGTATTTCATTCATCCAGTGAGATCCTCAGGGTAGTGATGTACATGCGATTATGCCATTCATTCAGACAACATGATCCTGCTCACGATCCCACCTGTGTCGCAAGCGCGTTTGGTGGGGATGAGGGACAGGGCCTTCTCTGTGGTAGCCCCCCGACTCTGGAACTCTTTCCCCGAGGACATCAGACAAGCCCAACATTGGCAGTCTTTAGGAAGAGCTTGAAGACCTGGCTGTTCCAATGTGCCTTTCCAGAATAGGAAACTCCCAGCATCATGTCCCAAACGCACTTTATTAGAGATTTAAGATTGTCTGCACATTGCACCTATCCCTAAAATGCTTTACATTTCACCTGTTATGTCCAGCACTTTTAATTTTATTCATTACATTTGGCCCGGCCTTTAGTTTTAAAGGCGTCATGATGTTATAGTTTTAATGTTTTACTGTTATTGCTTTAATGTTTATTGTTTTGCTTTATGAGTTTTATTGTTGTATTTGTTATGCTGTTGTTTTATTGAGGGCCTTGGCCTTTGTAAGCCACACCGAGTCCTTCGGGAGATGTTAGCGGGGTACAAATAATAATAATAATAATAATAATAATAATAATAATAATAATAATAACAACAACATGTTTGTGAGGTAGGTTAGGTTTGACATTCCCAGGGTCATTCAGAAAACCAAATGGAGTGAAAACTCAGATTTCAACAGCCAAAACAGAACTAATATTATACCATTAGCCACACATCTTGAACAGACACATCTTGAATATTGGTCTTTCTGTTATGGGACATCTTTCCATCAATGATAAGAAGAAGAAGAAGAAGAAGAAGAAGAAGAAGAAGAAGAAGAAGAAGAAGAAGAAGAAGAAGAAGAAGAAGAAGAAGAAGAAGAAGAAGAAGAAGAAGAAGAAGAAGAAGAAGAAGAAGTTGTTGTTAATTTTGGACTTGGGGCGGCTTACATGGGGCCCAAGCCCAAGGCAGGATACAACTAAAAACAGAGCAATAACAGTGGGTTGTTGTAGGTTTTTCCGGGCTATATGGCCATGTTCTAAAGGCATTTTCTCCTGACGTTTCGCCTGCATCTATGGCAAGCATCCTCAGAGGTAGTGAGGTCTGTTGGAAGTAGGAAAATGGGTTTATATATCAGTGGAATGACCAGGATGGGACAAAGTACTTTTGTCTGCTGGAGCTAGGTGTGAATGTTTCAACTGACCACCTTGATTAGCATTTAATGGCTTGGAAGTGCCTGGGGGGAATCTTTTGTTGAGAGTGATTTGATGTGCCTGATTGTTTACTCTCTGTTGTTTTGCTGTTGTACTTTTTGAGTTTTTTAATACTGGTGGCCAGATTTTGTTCATTTTCATGGTTTCCTTCTTTCTGTTGAAATTGTCCACATGCTTGTGGATTTCAATGGCTTCTCTGTGTAGTCATGGTGGTTGTGAGAGTGGTCCAGCATTTCTGTGTTCTCAAATAATATCCTGTGTCCTGGTTGGTTCATCAGGTGCTCTGCTATGGCTGACTTCTCTGGTTGAAGTAGTCTGCAGTGCCTTTCATGTTCCTTGATTCGTGTTTGGGCAATGATAATCCTGCATGTTCAAGGCAATTTAAAAATTTAAAAAGGCTGGGACAAGATTTGTGCAAGCTCAAAAATTCTAGGGGGCCCGGGAATTAAGTGCAATGCTGTGGCAGGCAACAATAATATTAGGTACTAGGCCTGGGTAACAACGGAAAAATTTGTTTCTAAAATCGATTTGTATTTGGGGTTTTTTTTTGTTTCGATATTTAAAATAATTACAAAATTTTCCTTTTAAAAAGTTTGATATTTACGAAATTTCGTAAATGGTAAAAAATTAACGAATCGATTTCCGAAACAATAACGAATCGATTCGTTAATGGCGGACGCGACCGCGAAATACGCTAAAAAACCTCCAAAACCTTCTGAAGCTTCCCTCTCCCTCTGTTGTTGACTGTTGGTGTGATATTATAATTTTTTCTCTCTAATTAAACCATAAAACTGGCCCAGACATGCGGAAATAATAACGAAACGACCTCAAAACAATAACGAAACGAATACAATATTGAAATACGAAGCATTTACAAAACGTTTTTGAAAATTCGTTTTTTTTAATAATTGCTCCAGAATGGTTCGTTATCATTTTGTTATTGAAAAAATTAACAAATTATTAACGAATTACGAATTAACGAAACGAAACCGCCCAGCCCTATTAGGTACGGGTCTGTGGCTGTTCATTCGGGGGCCGATTAGAGGAAATGATCTGGGTACTTGGCAGGAAGAAAAAGGCCGTATTCGACAATGTGTAGGGCTGAGTTAGAACTGGTCATTTTCAAAGGCTTGTTGAAACCACCAGGTCTTCAAGCTGTTACAAAAGGAGGGGAGGGATGGGGCCTGTCTTATTTCCCTTGGAAGGGCGTTGCAGAGGTGGGGGGCCACCACCAAGAAGGCCCTCTCTCTCGCCCCCACCAACCACGCTTGAGACGGTAGTGGGACCAAGAGGAGGGCCTCCCCGGAAGGTCTTAGAGCTCATGCCGGTTCATAGGAGATGCGATCGCGGAGATAGGTGGGGCCCGAACTGATTACGGCTTTATAGGTCATGACCTGCACCTTGAATTTGGCTCGGCGACTTATCGGCAGCCAATGAAGCTGTTTTAAGAGGGGTGTTGTATGCTCCCTATAGTTTTCTCCAGTAAGGAGCCTGGCTGCCGCCCATTGTACCAGTTCAAACTTCCAGGCTGTCTTCAAGGGCAGCCCCATGTAGAGTGCATTGCAATAGTCCAGTTTAGATGTAACCAAGGTGTGGACCACCCTGGCCAAGTCAGACTTCACGAGGTATGGTCGCAGCTGGCGCACAAGTTTGAGTTGTGCAAAGGCCCTCCCGGCCACTGCTGATACCTGAGCATCAAGCGACAGCGTTGAGTCCAGGAGGACCCCCAAGCTATGGACCTGTGACTTCAGGGGGAGTGTAACCCCGTTAAGTACAAGTTGCCACCTAATACCCCGGTCGGCCCCGCAACTGACCAGGAGGACCTCTGTCTTGTCTGGATTAAGCTTCAACCTGTTAGCCGTCATCCAGTCCATCACAGCTGTCAGACACTGGTTCAATGTCTGGGAGACTTCCTTGGAATTTGGTGGAAATGAGTAGTAGACAAGACAAAAAGGAGGGGACAGCACTGACCTTCTATTTTCCTGGTTCTTCTAATGTTTAGTTTTATATTTATTTATTTATTTATTTATTCATTTATTTATTTATTTGACTTGTATACCGCCACTCCCAATTTGGCTCGGAGCAGTTTACAGCAGTAGATTAAAACAATACAACCAACTTTAAAATACAATAAAAATGAGAACAGACATAGTCCCGAGTTATTCACCCGTCGAAAGCTTGTCGGAAAAGAAAGGTTTTACAGGCATAGTCCCAAGTTATTCACCCATCTAAAGCTTGTCGGAAAAGAAAGGTTTTACAGGCTTTCCAAAAAGCAAGTAACTCTCGGATGGTTCGGGTTTCAACTGGCAAGGCATTCCATATATAAGGGGCTACAATCGAGAAGGCTCTCTGCCTAGTAGAGGACAGATGATAAGTCCGGATGTTGGGGACTTCAAGCAAATTTTGGTCTTCGGACCGAAGTAATCTCGGGTTGGTAGGGGGATATGCAATGGAGCAGAGGCAAATTAGCCAAGGGAAAAATCCAAACTTAGTCCCATGGACTAAGAGTGTACCTATAAAAATAATTAGGACTTTGGTTAGTTGTCACTAATAAGACAAATTCATGACCATGGATCTACTCTAGATAGGACTAATGTAGGTGGCAGCAAAGTTGACATTTTCAATCTTTTTCTCTCTTTCACAGAGCTGATTGACCAGCAGCACCTGAGAATTCTGCTACAAAATGAAATCTTTACAGACTTCTTTAATACATTCTTGAACCTTCCTGTAAGTTTCTGTTTTATACCTAGCATCTTTTCCCAATACTTATTCTTATATAGCTGGGCACATTTTGTGCAGTAGGAAAATAAAACTTGCAGTAGACAGTAGGGTTTTGTGTAGGTAGCAAGATGATCTTTCATTGGAAACAAGGTTCACTATTTAAAAATTGAATGGGACAAAAATATTTTTGGGCCCATCTGTGTACAAGAAGAATTCGAGTATACTTTGGATTCAATCATGTTGCTGCAAGTATAATTAGCTATTTCTGTGCAGCACTTTTTTGCACTGTACCTTGAGGCTTCACTAGCACTTTGAAAGTACCAATTTTCATCATCAAACTCTCTGGTAGCAATTCAGGGAGTACACTATTATGACCACACCCTTCAGGGACATTTTCATGGGAAACTACATTTGCACAGGGGTCTCCTGTTCCTTCTCTGCATCAGAATCATTGACCAAGCCATTGCCATCTTGAAATTCATTGGCATCACTTCCCACATCCAAAGCACCCTGATCCTGAAACACAACCACAGGCTGAACTCCAACAAAACCCAAACAACAACAACTGGCACCATTAAGATAAAACATGGTGGATTGGAGCCAAATTCATCTGGGGAAGAAAGTATTATCCAACATCCAACACATAGTTTGATGGTATGACAATGATTAGTAAAGTCTTAAGGGCAGAAAGGAGAAACATTGACTGCTACTTATTAGCCTTGGCCAATCACAAAACCATTGCAGATATATCAGAACCATCAGGGTTTGCTTACTTGCTCACAGTTGTAGATACCCTCAAACAAACCTTACGACTGTGCATGTAACCGAATTGAAACTCTTTCTTCAGAATCTAGATCTATGCCTAAATATCACTTTCTCTGATTTGAGTGTTGGATTATGACTCCAGAGTGCACAATCTGAACTTCTACTCAGCCATGACAACCCACTGGGAAATCCACTGGATGACCTCAAAAGGGGACCACACCAAACCTTCCCTGAGGAAATCATGCTAAGGAAACACTGTGATAGGTTTGCTTTAGGGTCACCATATGGACCTAATCCCAAAAGCGGCCAGAATCACTACGTGGTGCCCATTGGAGGGCATGGATAACCCGTTGGCCGATGCCCTGCATCACCCAAGTCACCATCTCAAGTGGGGGGGGGGTCAATTGCCAAACTTTCTTCCACTGTTCCTGGCAGAACACGGGAAGCCTCCCATGTTGTGCCCAAGGCAGTATTCTCCACTTCACATTTCCTTTAAACACTGAGCCCCACCGGAAATACCTGTGTGTTGTGTATTAGGAGCCAAGGGAAGGCAAAGTGGACCATGCCACTGATTCTAACCCCCAACAGATGAATAAAAAATGACTTTGAGGCACATAATAAAATGAGGCCTTATCTCTGTCTTCTTCTCCTGGTTTTTCTTTCTATGTAGGTATTTGGCCAGACACCCATTTTCATCAGTGGCAGTCGTCAGTGGCACCTTTGGCCAGAGATGCCATCCAACCTGGTAGGTTTCAGGAATTTCTAGAGCATGGAAGACTTTTGTACAGATTGCTAAATAATGCCAATTCTTTCACTGAAATCTGACCCATATCCCGGTGATATAGCACGAGCAACTGTTGCCCCCTGTCTCTATCCATCCAGTATGAAGTGTTTGTAGTTGGTGATATTTAGCAACTTGTCTAATAAATGCAAATGTAATGCATGTAAACTGTCTTCCTAAAGTCAAGACAACATGAAGGTGGTTAAGAGTGTATATGGTGCCTATGGTCCTCTAGATGTTTCACAATTCTACGAAACAGGGCAGCATTGCCAATGATGAGAGTTAACTTTGAACTTGAGAGTTAATAGGAGATGTAGATCAAACACAACTGGAAGCTACGGATTTTCCGTCCTGAACTGGGAGTTATGCTTGTAAATAACAAGGCTATTCAAAACTGTAGCTTTGTTTACAGATTCTAGTTATAGCTTTTACTATATAGTGCCCAAAACAAATGAATTCCTATTTATGAATCCTCAATTGGAAGAGTGATGGTTGGATTTTTTCATGCTGTTCATCATCATCCTGAAACTTCTCATTTATGTATAATCAGTGCTGGTATAAGTCCCATAGTCAGAAAAAGGAGGCATAGAAATGCAGTAAATAAATAAATAAATAAATAAATGCTTACCTACTTACTTACAAACTTAGGTGATCCCTCGTAGTCCGAGGATGATGGTCCTCCAAGGTCGGTGTTCTGTCGGTGGGTCTGTAGGTGACTGTGGAGCCCAATTCTTCATCTGCATCTTCTCCCTCAGTGAGGACATTGGTTTCCAGGTGGAAGGGTCCTGGTCGGGGTTGACTTGACGCGCCTTCTTCTTGGCATGTTTCTCTCTTTCGCCCTCTATTTGTGCCTCTTCAAATTCTACAGTACTGCTGGTCACATCTGACCTCCAGCTGGAGCGCTCAAGGGCCAGGGCTTCCCAGTTCTCAGTGTCTATGCCAGAGTTTTTAAGGTTGGTCTTGAGCCCATCTTTAAATTTCTTTTCCTGTCCACCAACATTCCATTTTCCATTCTTGAGTTCGGAGTAGAGCAACTGCTTTGGGAGACGATGGTTGGGAATCCGGGCAACGTGGCCGGTCCAGCAGAGTTGATGGCGGAGGACCATCGCTTCAATGCTGGTGGTCTTTGCTCCTTCCAGCACACTGACATTTGTCCGCTTGTCTTCCCAAGAGATTTGCATTGCAGCAGGTGGTCAGTGGTTTGCTTTTCTCCACACTTGCATGTCATTGATTCCACTTTGTAGCCCCATTTCTTGAGGTTGGCTCTGCATCTCGTGGTGCCAGAGCGCAGTCTGTTCAGCGCCTTCCAAGTCGCCCAGTCCTCTGTGTGCCCAAGGGGGAGTCTCTCATTTGGTATCAGCCATTGGTTAAGGTTCTGGGTTTGAGCCTGCCACTTTTGTACTCTTGCTTGCTGGGGTGTTCCAGCAAGTGTCTCTGTAGACCTTAGAAAACTATTTCTTGATTTAAGTCGTTGACGTGCTGGCTGATACCCAAACAGGGGATGAGCTGGAAATGTCTCTGCCTTGGTCCTTTCACTATTGGCTGCTACTTCCCGGCGGATGTCAGGTGGTGCGATACCGGCTAAGCAGTGTAATTTCTCCAGTGGTGTAGGGCGCAGGTACCCCGTGATAATGTGGCATGTCTCATTAAGAGCTACATCCACTGTTTTAGTGTGGTGAGATGTGTTCCACACTGGGCATGCATACTCAGCAGCAGAGTAGCATAGTGCAAGGGCAGATGTCTTCACTGTGTCTGGTTGTGATTCCCAGGTTGTGTCAATCAGCTTTCATATGATATCGTATGATATTGTTTCTAGCACCCACTTTTTGCTTGATGTTCAGGCAGTGCTTCTTGTAGGTAAGAGCACGGTCCAGAGTGACTCCCAGGTATTTGGGTGCGTTGCAATGCTCCAGTGGGATTCCTTCCCAGGTGATCCTCAGAGCTCGGGATGCTTGTCTGTTCTTAAGGTGAAAGGCACATGTCTGTGTTTTAGATGGGTTGGGGATCAGCTGGTTTTCCCTGTAATAGGCAGTAAGAGCACCTAGAGCTTCGGAGAGCTTCTGTTCTACCATCTCAAAGCTCTCTGCTTTGAGCAGTAATGGCATGATCATCAGCATAGATGAAACTCTCTGTCCCTTCTGGCAGTGGCTGGTCATTTGTGTAGATGTTGAACATAGATGGAGCAAGCATGCTCCCCTGAGGTAGGCCGTTCTTCTGTTTCCGCCATCTGCTTCTCTGGCCCTGGAACTCAACAGAAAAGCTCCTGTTTTGTAGCAGGATAACCTCTATCAGGTTTTTGTGTCTTGCTGGAATCCAAAGAACTGGAAGAACTACTTGGTTTATAACCTCTATGAAAATGATAAACCAAGTAGTTCTTCCAGTTCTTTGGAGTCCAGCAAGATACAAAAAACTTACCAATGAGCTGCTGAATTATTTTATTTATCACAAGATGAGTCCACAGCAGACACTCTGATGGCTGTTGTATTGGATCATATGTCGGACACTTCCCAAGTGTCTAGGACTGTGTGATGTATCTGCAGATCCCAGTAAGGTGGCCTTCTGCAGCTGGCAGATGGTAATTTTGTCAGTGCCGATTGTGTTTAAGTGCAGGCCAAGGTCTTTAGGTACTGCACCCAGTGTGCCGATCACCAGTGGGACCACCTTGACTGGCTTGTGCCAGAGTCTTTGCAGTTCGATCTTTAAATCCTCATATCGTGTCAGCTTTATTATTATTATTATTATTATTATTATTATTATTATTATTATTATTAGCTGTACCTGCCACACGTTGCTGTGGCCCAGTCTGTGTATATGTGTTTTGTGTGTATATATATTTGTGTATATGTGTAAATATGTGTGCTTGTGTAAATATATGTGGTTTTGTGCACGTGTTGTAATGTAATTTTTGTTTTTAGGCTTTTTAAGTCTGTTCTGCTGTGTTTTTCAGAGTTTTTGTGAGTGATGGTCACTCGTTGGCCTGATAGGTGTATTGTGTCCAAATTTGGTGTCAATTCGCCCAGTGGTTTTTGAGTTCTGTTAATCGAACATTACATTTTTATTTATATAGATTGGTGCAACTTTAATATGCTATTACTTTTATTGGAACAATGCAGGTGGCAAAATACAAAGGCTTGTTAAACTGGCTGGAAAAATACCGAGTGCCTTTCTTCTGCAAAACTAACTTGTGCCTTCACTATATTCTCTGCGAAGAGCTCGTCAGTTTCATCCGGTCTCCAGAAGCTGGTAAGAGTTGAATTCAAATATAAAAGTCATGTTTATGTGCAAAAATACATGGAACTGACATTGTTGACTGCATTTCAAGTTGACATTTACCAAAAAAGGAGAATGATTGATTTCCAGCAATAATTTTAAAGTGCACACACATAACTAATATCTAAATCTAATGCTAACCCCAAGTAGAACAGCCCAATGGAATCAGTTACGGAGTGATAAATCAGCATTTGCCTAAATCTCATTGGCTCAGTGGGTCCACTCTAGTTAGGATGAATAATTGGAAATAGGCTTCAGTAACCAAGAGTAATGGAGAGGAGGGGCCAGGGGACAGTTCCACCTTGTCTCCTGCATATTATTTATTTATTATTTATTTATTTACTCCTTTTGTATACCGCAAATATCAGCCGCGGCGACTCTAAGCGGTTTACAGTAAAATGTGCAACATTGAACAATATATATGACAAACAACCACAAACAATACACAAAACGTCATCACGCCTCGAATAGAATCAGATCCAAATCTCATAGTCGTTTTACCATTCCTTGTTCAGTATGCCATATTGAAGAGAGATGATGAGAAGCTGGAATGTGTCCAGAGGAGAGCAACTAAAATGATCAAGGGTCTGGAGAACAAGCCCCATGAGGAGCGGCTTAAGGAGCTGGGCATGTTTAGCCTGAAGAAGAGAAGGCTGAGAGGAGACATGATAGCCATGTGAGAGGAAGTCACAGGGAAGAGGGAGCGAACTTGTTTTCACCTGCCCTGGAGACTAGGACGCAGACCAATGGCTTCAAACTACAAGAAAGGAGATTCCATCTGAACATTAGGAAGAACTTCCTGACTGTGAGAGCTGTTCAGCAGTGGAACTCTCTGCTCTGGAGTGTGGTGGAAGCTCCTTCTTTGGAAGCTTTTAAAGAGAGACTGGATGGCCATTTGTCAGGGGTGCTTTGAATGCAATTTTCCTGCTTCTTGGCAGGGGGTTGGACTGAATGGCCAATGAGGTCTCTTCCAACTCTATGATTCTATGATTCTATGACTTAGTCTTTGGTTTCCTTTGCAGCAGAGATGCTGAGATGGAAACGGGCTGATCAGTGGCTTCTTGAGAAATGTATTGCTGGCAGCAGAGGAATGTGGCGTTTCCGCTCCTTCATGCAAGGGATGGCAGGTAAGGCAGGAAGTGCAACAAAGTCCAAAATCACATAGTTGAGATGAATGGTCAGTTTGGATTGAATAGCTCTTCTCCCTGATCAAGGGTCCAAATGTTCAATGAAAGGAGCATATATTTTGACAGGAAAAGGTCCCAATTTAATGACACTAGGAGAAGTATTTATATTATTTATTTTCCTTATTTATTAGTTACTAGCCGTCCCCTGCCATGCATTGCTGTGGCCCACATGGGGATTCTGTGTGGGAGGTTTGGCCCATTTCTATCATTGATGGGATTCAAAATGCTCTGTGATTATAAGTGAACTATAAATCCCAGCAACTACAACTCCCAAATGTCAAGATTCTATTGTCCCCAAACTCCACCAGTCTTCACATGTGGGCATATTGAGTATTCGTGTAGAGTTTGGTCCAGATCCATCATTGTTTGAGTCCACAGTGATCTCTGGATGTAGGCAAACTACAACTCCAAAACCAAAGGACACTGCCTATCAAACCCTTCCAGTATTTTATGTTGGTCATGGGAGAACTGTGTGCCAAGTTTGGTTCAATTCCATCATTGATGGGATTCAGAATGCTCTTTGACTGTAGGTGAACTATAAATCCCAGCAACTACAACTCCCAAATGACAGAATCATTGTTTTTAAGTGAAGGACATACATTGGGTTGCTAGATGTCTTGTGTCCAAAATTGGTGTCAATTTGTCCAGTGGTTTTTGAGTTCTGTTAATCCTACAAACGAACATTACATTTTTATTTATATAGATTAGCCCCCGGTGGCACTGAGGGTTAAACTGTTAAGCTACTGAACTTGCTTACCGAAAGGTCACAGGTTCAAATCCGGGGAGCGGCGTGAGCCCCCATTGTTAGCCCCAGCTTCTGCTAACCTAGCTGTTCAAAAACATGCAAATGTGAGTAGATCAATAGGTACCGCTCTTGCAGGAAGGTAATGGTGCTCCATGCAGTCATGCCAGCCACATGACCTTGGAGGTGTCTATGGACAACACCGGTTTTTTGGCATAGAAATGGAGATGAACACCACACCCCAGAGTCGGGCACGACTGGACTTAATGTCAGGGGAAAACCTTTACCTACCTATTATTAGTTATATTATTATCTATAATTTATTTATTTGCGACATTTATATGCCGCCCTTCTCACCCCAAAGAGGACTCAGAGCGACTTACAAGATATATAGATAGATAGATAGATAGATAGATACACACACACACACACACACACAATACATTATACCATGAGCACAGTACAATATCAGCGCTATACATCACTATATTGTACTATACAATTATATTGTAATATTATTAGTAATATTACATGTAATATAAATATATAATTGTAATATAATCATATTATTAATATTATACTGTATTACATTATAATATTATAAATATTATATGTATATACATTATATCATATCATATTATATTATATTATATTATATTATATTATATTATATTATATTATATTATATTATATATTAGCATACCACAAGAGACAAGGTGGAACTGTGCTCAAAGATGCAGGCGAAATGTCAGGAGAGAATGCTTCTAGAGCATGGCAATATAGCCCGAAAAACCTACAACAACCTAGTGATTCCAGCCATGAAAGCCTTCGACAATACAGAAAGCTGCTCTGTTCTACAATGCCTCTGTTATGTCATTAATATTTTTAATATACTCTGTCATTAATATTTTTGGGTTGTTGTAGGTTTTTTCGGGCTATATGGCCATGTTCTAGAGGCATTCTCTCCTGACGTTTTGCCTGCATCTATGGCAAGCATCCTCAGAGGTAGTGAGGTCTGTTGGAACTAGGAAAAGGGGTTTATATATCTGTGGAAAGACCAGGGTGGGACAAAGGACTCTTGTCTGCTGGAGCTAGGTGTGAATGTTTCAACTGACCACCTTGATTAGCATTTGATGGCCTGGCAGTGCCTGGAGCAATCTTTTGTTGAGAGGTGATTAGATGTCCCTGATTGTTTCCTCTCTGTTGTTTTGCTGTTGTAATTTTTAGAATTTTTTAGTACTGGTAGCCAGATTGTGTTCATTTTCATGGTTTCCTCCTTTCTGTTGAAATTGTCCACATGCTTGTGGATTTCAGTGGCTTCTCTGTGTAGTCTGACATGGTGGTTGTTAGAGTGGTCCAGCATCTGAGGATGCTTGCCATAGATGCAGGCGAAACGTCAGGAGAGAATGCCTCTAAAACATGGACATATAGCCTGAAAAACCTACAACAAACCAGTGATTCCAGCCATGAAAGCCTTCGACAATACATTAATATTTTTGTAAAAAAGACATTTGTGTAAGGAAGGAGTTATTATGCACTTCTGTAAAGAGGGATGGCAGCTCGCTGCTAAGGATTGCCCATTGGAACACCCCTTTTCATCATGGCAAGCTCTGAAACAGAACGGACCCCATCACATGTTGTTTTGAGCCAAAGTAATGGGTCCTTAGCATCAAATTCACAATTTCACTTCATGATTACAGATCTGCTCAATTTCATAATTGCTTGCAGTTCTGTGACTAGGAGGGGGCCCGGATAAATGACTGGAAGTCCATGGGAGGGGGGGGGGGACTGCAAGTGTGATGTGGTGGTTAGCTAGTTTCTGAGTCAAGTGGGAAATAGAAACTGTATCTCCCAATATTTTAAGTAGAAAGAGATTGTATTACTTTCCACCAGCCTGTTTTTTAAAATGCAATTCACCAGCTATCAGATTCAATCATAGCGTGATTCCCCCCCCCCCCCCAAAATGAACATTTTCAGGAAACTGAAAGGCTATTACAAGTGGAATGAAAATGACTACTTGTAACCTTTCCTTTGATCTACAGGGGAAGATCTGACCAAGTTCTGGCTTGCGGCAGAAAGAATACTTGCTATTGATGAAACAGATGAGTCTCAGCAAGATCTCTACATATCCCTGATGCAGGTCTTGATGGCCACCCATTTGCAGGAGGGCTCCACAGTTGTCACCCTATGCAACACAAGTGTTGGTAAAATGCACATATGTGCTCTGCAAACCTCTCACCTTCACCCCCTCCTGTGGCATCTTGAATTGTTCTTCAGATTCCCTTACCCTGTTCAGATGTTTTAAAAAATAAGAAATAAGGTTGAAATAATGAGAGAAATAAGGTTGAACACCATGAAAGCCACCCACTACATGGCTACCAGCCTCCTCCCAGTAGACTCAAATCAAGGAAAAGCTTTACGAGAACCACCACTCCTCTTGGTGTCCCCCCAGAAATAGCAAGGGTATCCCTCTGGGCAGCTAAACCAGGAAACCCCAACTGGATGGCCCCCCACGAGGGTCTTCCTCCAGGGGCAAACCAAGAATGGGCATCTTGGAAGTCCCTGAACAGACTCAGAAGTGGAGTGGGCAGATCAAAAGACAACCTGGCAAAATGGCACTACCTAAAAGAATCCCAAACCTTGCGTGACTGTGGAGCAGAACAGACAACTCCGCATCTATATGCTTGTCCACTGTGCCCTGCCTCATGTACAGAGGAGGAATTGTTGGAGGCTACAGACAATGCCATTGCTGTTGCCTGTTTTTGGTCAAAAGATATTTAGCCACCTGCGCTCCTTCTATTTTTATCGGTTTTATACTAATTTATGCAATGCTTTTCATACAAAAAAAAAAAAAACCCTGTTCAGATCCTTGGAGGAGGCGGGGCAGGAAAAAAATCTCCTTTCTTTTGTATGAAAATCAAAAGAAAAGTCTGGAATGTTATTTTTTTTACAAGAGAGTAAATTTCACTTTAGTGAATGCAGGTTACTTTGGAGTAGTCACATATTGAACTGTGCTGCACAAAGCAGAGATAATGCAGAGGGACATGCACAAAAAGGTGGAGATAAGGCAGTGTTTAAAATGTAAATAAACATGTTGCAGATTAATGTTTTGACAAGATATTCAAACCTGTTCATATATGGAGATAAATACAAATTACAATATTTTCTGTATAAGTGGAAGTGCATATGCCAAAAAAAAGGGGGCCCTGGGGATGCAGCTCTTTCTGTCTGTGTGACTAGGGCCCTGCCTACTCAGCCAGTATAATGCAGATTGATTTGGATTATATAGCAGTATAGATTCATATAATCGAGTTCAATGCAGTTCAGTCTCCATTATACGAGTCTACTTCTGGTGTGAGAGAATTGGCTGTCTGGATGGACAAAGCCCAGGGGATGCCCAGATGTTTGATGTTTTACTATCCTTGTGGGAGGCTTCTCTCATGTTCCCGCATGGGGAGCTGGAGCTGACAGAGGGAGCTCAGAGGTGAAACTTAGGTCTTTTAACCCACAATCATCATCCGCCAAATTTTAATCACAGCCGTGCAGAACTTAGCAATGTACATCACAGCTGAGTTTGTGTCTGAGAGCAGCAGAGGTACATAGAATTGTCTAGAGCAGTGGTTCTCAACCTGGGGTCCCCAGATGTTTTTGGCCTACAACTCCCAAAAATCCCAGCCAGTTTACCAGCTGTCAAGATTTCTGGGAGTTGAAGGCCAAAAACCTCAGGGGACCCAAGATTGAGAACCACTGGTCTAGAGTGTCCTGGGTATTTAATTGTCCATGGCAAGATGAGACAAGATCAAATATCTTTATTAGCTTTACCTCTGAAATATAGGAAATCAGATATTGACTGGTATTTATAGTGTTGGATATTCCACCCACCCCGGGGCCATCCCCACTACCTCTCTTTAGACTGCCTTCAGATGATCTCGTGGGTTGAGATAGGTTTTAATAACTACTTGTATTGGTTTTTAGCTTAGATTTTAAAATTGGTTGACGTTTGAAGTATATAACCCCTTGGGAGCCCCCAGTGGCGCAGTGGGTTAAACCCCTGTGCCGGCAGGACTGAAGACTGACAGGTCGCAGGTTCAAATGCGGGGTATAATAAAGTTAAAGGCTGTCTGGGGCAGGGGGGACAAACAATCAATCCCACCTCTACCCCTCAAGGCAAGGGAGAATAAAATATTATAAATGACCGAATGTTCTTGGTAGTATTAGCCGCCACCACCTCAGAATTATTGGCCTGAGGTACCAAAGGTGTGAATGTGTTATAGGTAAGGTGTGTTAGAGCTCTTGATTCTTCTATTATTTCTTCACTGGATGACTGGACTTTAAAATGGTTTGACAGAGTGAGTTCTGAGGAAATGGATAGACTGAGGCATACACCAGTTAACAGTGAACTATGAAAGAGTTTATTGAACTTGGAACAAATATCACCTCATAGCATGAGGGGCACAGAAGCGTAATTCAGGTGTAGAGACTTAGTTTCTTAAACAAGTAGTTCCACTGATAGTAAAGCTTTTATCAACTGTGAGATTCTTTAGACACACTGCTCTATCTTTAGACACAGTATCACTTGAGAACAGATCCCTATCTGTCTCTCCCACAGGGCAAATAAGCACTCCTATACTTTTCCTCAGTATAAACAGACAAGTCTCTCTGTTACTGATCCTACTAATACAGTAACCCTAGCCCTTGTCTGTCTGCTTATTCCCTATTCTAAAGGCTCACTTAAAACTTTCTTTCCCTGTCAGATTCCTACTGTAGCTCCCTATCTTAAGATTTCATCCTTCTCTGTCTGATGTTAAGACACTTCTCCCTCTCTGTCAAAAGCTGACAGCTTATTTTCCCTCTCTCAACCGACTCCTCCCCCAATTGCTATACCCAATCAGGAGTCGGCTTGACTCCTCCTCCTGCTCTGCCTGCCTTCCAAGATGACAACTACTGTCATGCAGGCTTCGGCCTTGTCGTCTTAAAGGTAGATTCCACTACACGGGGAGAGGCGGATGAGCTCCCTCTATCAACTCCAGCTCCTCATGCGGGGACATGAGAGAAGCCTCCCATAAGAATGATAAAAATATCAAAATTATCCGGGCGTCCCCTGGGCAACTTCCTTGGAGATGACCAATTCTCTCACACCAGAAGCGACTTGCAGTTTCTCAAGTTGCTCCTGACACGACAACAAAAATAACAAAACCCTTGGGTTTGATGTGGATGTATGGGACTGGATCCCCCTGTTATGGTCACTGATCGTAATAAAGTTTACTTACTTACTTACAGAGGGAGCTCAACCTGCTCTCCCCGCATTTGAACCGCTGAACTGTTGGTCAGCAGTCCAGCCGGCACAAGGGTTTAACCCATTGTGCCACTAAGGGCTCCAAATCTACACTGATGATGTAATTTTCCTCCCCTAATTCTGTGAGCCACCCAATCCGCTGTTTCTAAACCTCTATGTTATTCACAGAATCTCTTCTGAAAACGTCTCCCCACCACCCTCAACATGCTCGCACGCGGAGAGAGATCCTGAGTGAGATGCAGAAAGTGGCACTGTTTAAGATTGAAAGTTACTGGCTGCCTAACTTCTACATACACTGCAAGCTGAGCATGGAGAATGAGCCAAAATGCCGCCATTTGCTCAAGGAATATCAGCAGCGATTACGCAAAGGAAGCACTCCAAGGTTTTCCCTGTCTCCCTCACTGGCAATGACCATCAGAGCAAGTTGTGACACAACCACATCATACTGCAGCCTGAAAAGCAAAAGGATGGCCTGGGAACACATCACGGGCAGAAGTGTTTCCCGCAAAGGGAAACGTAAGGGCCACCGCAAACAAAGGTCACGTAAAAGCAGTCCAACTGACAGGAAGCGCCACCACTCTGGAAAGCATTCCACCAGTCCAAGCCCAAGTCCTCACCGAGCAGATCATGATAAGGATGACGAGACCAATTCTGATATATTACCAAGTTGCAAAAGCAGTCCAAATAGCCCAGGTAGTTTCCCCTACTCTCCTGTGGCCGATGAGATTGCTGAGATGGGCACTGTGAGTAGATTACGCTCCTCCACTCCAATGGTCCAGGTTCCCTCGATGCTTGCTTTGAAGTCTCCTGTGAAGTCTCCCATGTGCTTAGACTTCCTTCCTTGGGCACTCACTGCTGACAAATGTGCAGGACGCCCCTTCCGAAACTTTTTACTTTGTCGGACTTATGCTATGGAGGTGCATCTCCTTGATCTGTGGCACGACCTGGAAGACTTCCTGCGCATGATGTTGTGCTCCCTTGGTGAAGGGAACATCCTTCTGCGCCACGTCATGGGGGAAAGGATATGTGAGCTGTACCTCACCCAGAACAACAACTGGCACCTTCCATTGAAGCTCACAACTCTTAGGAATTTGCAGAACCTCTTGCCTTCTGGACACGTTATACCATGGGTGCTCAAGGCGCAGAAGGAAATCTGCAAGGTGGGAGATCTTCCTTTCTCTCTTAGACAATTAACAGTGTCAAGAATGACTTTTCAATGACTTTGAAGCATAGGTTCTTTTTATTGCAATTTCCAGTGTGAGAGTGTATATCAGATTACAGAAAACATTTCAACAAAGAATCACATTGGACATACAGACATATAGATTGTATGCAACTACATTGGATTTACATTAGTCAACAAACAAACAAAGGGGAATGACATTTTCATTCAACATTCACACACTAGGCTTGGGCGGTTTCATTCGTTAATTTCGTAATTCATTATTAATTCGTATTTAAATTAGCTTACGATCCGATATTGAGCCATTTTGGAATAGTGTGAGGAGTAATTAAGAATCGAAACAATTTTTCCAATTTTCGTAATTATTTTGTAATTATTTTCGTAATATAATATAATAATATATAATATATAATACAATATATTATAATAATTTATTTATTTATTTATTTATTTCACTTACTTATACCCCGCCCTTCTCACCCCGGGGGGGACTCAGGGCGGCTTACAGTGGGGGCACAATTAGATGCCCAAATCAATTGACAAGAATACAAAATACAAAACAATTCAACAATTAATTAAAACATCAATACATAATAAGATAATAAAACAATCTCATGCTAAAACAATCTCATGCTCAGGGTTCAGAGTCCATATTTCATTCCATTCGTCCTTGTCTATCGTCAGATCCTTAGTTTAGTTGTCCGAATGACCAAAGGCTTAGTCCCACACCCAGATCTTCAGTTTTTTCCTAAACGCCAGAACGGAAGTCGCTGATATAATCTCCCCGGGGAGTGAGTTCCACAGGTGGGGGGCCACCACTGAGAAGGCCCTGCTCCTCGTCCCCACCAGCCTCACTTGTGACAGTGGCGGGGTTGAGAGCAGGGCCTCCCCAGAAGATCTTAAACTTCGAGATGGGATGTAGAGGGAGATCCGTTCGGACAAATACAAATATTATTATATTATATTATTGTATATAATATACAATAATATAATATAATAATATTATAATATAATAATATATAATATAATATAATAATATTATTATAATATAATATAATAATATATAATATAATATATATAATATAATATAATAATATATAATATAATAATAATATAATATAATATAGTTGTTGTTTGTTTTATCACACCAACAGTCAACAACAGAGGGAGAGGGAAGCTTCAGAAGTTCCCCCTGTCCAATTTGGAGGTTTTTTTAGCATATTGCGCAATCGCGTCCGCCATTAACAAATCAATTCGAAATTTACGAAATTTCATAAATTTCGAACTTTTTTAAAGAAAAAATTCGGAATTCTTTAAAAAAACGAAACGCAATGGACCCCCTAAAAATGAAATGAGTTTAGAAACAAATTTTTCCGTTGTTCCCAAACCTATCACACACATATACACGCATTCATCCACATGCATTCAAATATTACCATATCATTTTCTCCCTCCTTGGAGAAACACCTGTTAGGCCAGACCTTGTTTTCCTGCAGTCTGCCATAACTTCCATAACATCATAACTTCAAAATGCTGAAATGCCAAAACTTCTTCCCTAAGAACAATGCCAAGGACCAGATCTCTGTTTCCATACAGCAGAACCTGACTCCCTGCACAAAATCTAAGACTCCAAAAGCACACTTCTTCCTCTTCCCTTGAGAAAGAAGCCTCCAGACTGCTCCCGTGCAAATCTGCCCCTATCCATAGGTACGCTATCTCTTTCCTTCCCATGGAGCAGAACATAGCGGGTGGAACAGACTCCTCATGTCTGCCACACTTTGAGCAGTATTAGATTGAGTCTTTTGTAGGAATATTCTGCTGATGTAGTCTCAAAGTTGTAAATTAATGATCCCTCCTGCATCGCAAGCACGATTGGTGGGAACGAGGGACAGGGCCTTCTCGGTGGTGGCCCCATGACTCTGGAACTCCCTCCCCAAGGACATCAGGCAGGCCCCAACATTGGCAGTCTTTAGAAGGATGTTCCAGTGTGCCTTCCCAGAATAGGAATCCCAAGTAATATGTCCCAAATGCACTTTACGAGAGATTTAGAACTGTCTGCACGTGCACCTATCCCTAAAATATCTTTCCTATTTCCCTTGGACATGCCCAGCATTTTAAATTTTAATCCTTACAGTTGGCCCTGCCAAAGGTTTTTAAATTTGTCGTGTCATTACTGTAATGTTTTGCTTTGTTATGAGTTATTTATAGTTGTATTGTTGTTGTTATGTTTTATGATGTATTTGGGCTCGGCCTCTTGTACGCCGCACCGAGTCCTGCGGGAGATGGTAGCGGGGTATAAATAAAGGATTATTATTATTATTATTATTATTATTATTATTATTATTATTATAAGGGAAGATGCCTTCAGACAGGTAAGTTGGGCCAGAACCGTTTAGGTCTTTATAGGCTAAAGCCAGCACTTTGAATTGTGCCCGGTAGCAGACTGGCAGCCAGTGGAGCTGGCGCAACAGAGGAGTTGTATGCTCCCTGAGCGTCACTCCTGTTATTAATCTGGCTGCCATCCATTGGGCCATTTGAAGCTTCCAGACAGTCTTCAAAGGCAACCCTACGTACCGTGCATTGCAGTAGTCTATACGGGATGTAACCAGAGCATGGACTACCGTGGCCAAGTCAGACTTCCCAAGATATAGGCGCAGTTGGCGCACACGTTTTAACTGTGCAAATACTCCCCTGTTCACGGCCGAAACCTGGGGTTTCAGTCTCAGCGATGAATCCAGGATCACACCCAATAGTTGACTTATTGGGAGGGCGTAAAGGAAGAGGTAACGACGCTCCATGCGGTCATGCTGACCATATGACCTTGGAGGTGTCTACGGACAACGCTGGCTCTTCGGCTTAGAAATGGAGATGAGCACCACACCCCAGAGTCAGACATGACTGGACTTAATGTCAGGGGACTACCTTTACCTGTACCTAAAGGAAGAGAGTATCTATTTGCAACTGTTTTCTTCTTCTCCTTTTAGATACTCAGCTTTCTCTATGAGGATTTCCTTCAGCATGACGACAAAATGTTTCTGTTTTATGTGGTAAGCATGGAGCTAACTATTTGGAACCAATGGAAACTTCGTCCTAAACCATTGACCTTATTAGACTTTGACCGGGGGCTTTCATCAGGCATTCCTTTTTGTACATGAAAGAGGGGCTCTGGAAGGGGAGGGCAGATATCTCAAAGAGCCTTGGTTAAGTACAGTGGGTTTGTAAATATTCCAAAATATGTGGAGGGTGCCAGACTAGGAAAAAAACTGTTTTAAACATCCCCGATCGTATGTCTTCGCAGAGTGGGAAGGAAAAGAAAACTAATGAAGAGCCACCTTACGAACACGACGAGAGCCTCCGAATGATCAGAAGGATAATTGAATCAATGCATCTCAGCCAGGCCTTGGCTGGCATGAGAGACTTTGATCTGCTTTCTGGAGAGCACTGGCGACTGCTGGGAACCCAGGATCTGAACAAGGGGGGCTCCATCTTCATGGAAGTGGAATCTCCTGTGTGGAAACATGGTAAAAATAAAGGCATCTCATGGTTGAGTCAGGAGGAGGGTTACCTGGGACCAGGGCCGTAGCCAGAAAAAAATTTCGGGAGGGGTTGAAATTTGGGGAGGGGGGTTGAAAATTTCACCGAGGGGGGGTTGAACCCTGCCTCCTAGCTCATGCTGAAGCAAAGAGCACAGCAGGGGGCAGAGCAGCCTTCAATAGCCTGCAGCTCTACCCCTGTCAACCACCTCCACCAAGTCTGGTCTCCTTAATGAGAGCATTCAACACACACACCCCCAACTTGGTTGCTTCGCTACATCGGCTATTGCTGCAAGTAATGACAGTGTGAATAAATTGTCATTATTTGCTTGAGATAGTGCTTGCAGCTCTGGAGGGACTCTTAATTTTTTGCATCTTCACTTCACTTTATTTCTTAATTACAGTATATTCTGGCGTATAAGACTACTTTTTAACCCAAGAAAATCATCTCAAAAGTCAGGGGTCGTCTTATACGCTGGTGTATTCTTATGCATGGGAGTTGTCTTAACTCTATATTTTAACTGGAAATGTTGGGGGTCGTCTTATACGCCCAGTCGTCTTATATGCCGGAATATACGGTAGTCGCTCTCCACCAAGGTGCTCCGAGCGACTTACAATTTTAAATAGCATTTACACAATATAAAAACATTCAACATAAAAACATACAACAGTGACTTAGCATGGGGATTTGGTTAACCAGTTAAAATTCATGAGCAAACCGGGTTTTTAAAAAAATCTGAAACATTTCGGGGGGGGGGTTGAACCCCTAACCCCCCCCCCTCGCTACAGGCCTGCCTGGGACTAAAAGCCTTGGTAGGGATGGCCACAAGAGTGCAATTGTACTGCATACATGACTGCCTACATCAGTGATGGGCAACCTTTTGAGCTTGGTGTGTCAAAATTTGCCAAAAACCTGACCATAACTTGGGTGGGGTGTCAACTTCGAGAAAAAATAAATGTAATTTTGCAATATTTATAGTTTAAATAAGAAAAATGTATATTCCATGCTGAGTTATGGAGTGAACAATGCTCAAACGTGCAGATGTTAAATTTGTAGAGCCTTTTACAAATTTAAGGATGGAATTAGATTGGCTCTTATAAGGTGTACTTCTCTGTATGCGGCCGCATGTGGCTGCATGTCATCAAAAATAGCCATGCGTGTCAGTGCTGACATGCATGTCATAGGTTCACCATCATGGGCCTACATGATTGTGTGTGTGTAACTGTATAATATCATGTCCTTTACCGTAAACCAGGGGTCCTCAAACTAAGGCCCGGGGGCCAGATGCGGCCCTCCAAGGTCATTTACCCGGCCCTCTCACAGGGTCAACCTAAGTCTGAAACGACTTGAAAACACACAACAACAACCCTTTCTCATCAGCCAAAAGCAGGTCCGCACTTCCCATTGAAATACTAATAACTTCATATTTGTTAAATGTGTTCTTCATTTTAATTATTGTATTGTTTAAAGTACTTTTTTGCACTACAAATAAGATATGTGCAGTGTGCATAAGAATTCATTCACCTTTTTTTTTTCAAATTATAATCTGGCCCTCCAACAGTTTGAAAGACTGTGACCTGGCCCTCTGTTTAAAAAGTTTGAGGACCCCTGCCGTAAACAAACCTGGCAATTGTTGCTTTTTTGTTTGAAATTTGTGTGCATGCAACCCTCAAAATTGTGATTTGATTTAATACAGTGATTTCATACCTTTGCTCAGATGAGTTCAAGGTGAGAATACAGTTAGTCCTCTATAATTCACTAGAGTTAGGGGCTTAAAGTAAAGTAAAGGTTTCCCCTGACATTAAGTCTAGTCGTGTCTGACTCTGGGAGGTAGTGCTCATCTCCATTTCTAAGCTGAATAGCATGTGTTGCATGGAGCACCGTTACCTTCCTGCAGAAGCGGTACCTACTGATAACAACAACAACAACAACAACAACAGGTTCGGGCTCCGTCTATCTCTGCGATCGCATCTCCTTCTATGAACCGGCACGAGCTCTAAGATCTTCTGGGGAGGCCCTCCTCTCGGTCCCACTACCATCTCAAGTGCGGTTGGTGGGGACTAGAGAGAGGGCCTTCTCAGTGGTGACCCCCCATCTCTGGAACGACCTTCCAAGGGAAATAAGACAGGCCCCGTCCCTCCCCTCCTTTCGTAAGAGCTTGAAGACCTGGTGGTTTCAACAAGCCTTTGAAAATGACCAGTTCTAACTCAGCCCTACACATTGACTAATACGGCCTTATTCTTCCTACCAAGTACCCAGATTACTTCCTCTAATCGGCCCCGGATTGAACAGCCACAGACCCATACCTAATATTATTGTTGCCTGCCATAGCATTGCACTTAATTCCTGGGCCCCCTAGAATTTTTGGGCTTGCACACATCTTGGCCCGGCCTTTTAAATTTTTAATTGCCTTGAACAGGCAGGATTATTTATTTATTTATTTACTATTCTTGTATACCGCTGTATCTCAAGCCCGAGGGCGACTCACAGCGGTTTACAAACAGCAGGGACAATAAAAACAGCAATAGTTAATAAACAATGACAATTAATTTACACATTTCCATTAATAACTAATAAGCAATCCCAATACACAATTATTACAAACCCCATCCCCGATCGCCTCATCATCCATGCATGATCCAAATTCGTCGTCCATTGTTCCGTTCCTATGTTCAATTACCAGATTGCACTGAATTACTCAAACGCCTGCACAAACATCCAGGTCTTCAACTTTCTACGGAATGTCATGAGAGATGGTGCCAGCCTAATATCTATAGGAAGGGCGTTCCACAGCCGAGGAGCCACCACCGAGAAGGCCCTATCTCTCATCCCCGCAAACCGTGCTTGGGAAGCTTGGGAACCGTGCTTGGGATTACTTTTAATATATGTGTGTTATGGGGATAATTTTTATGCTTATATTTTGTTTGTTAATCTTATGGTTATGTTGTTTCACTCTGTATGTTTTGTGATGTTACTTGGGAGGGATGGGGCCTGTCTTATTTCCCTTGGAAGGGTCTTCCAGAGACGGGGGGCCACCACTGAAAAAGCCCTCTCTCTCATCCTCACCAACCACACTTGAGATGGTAATGGGACCAAGAGGAGGGCCTGCCCAGAAGATCTTAGAGCTCATGCCGGTTCATAGAAGGAGATGCGATAGCGGAGATATTTATTTATTTATTTATTTACTTCATTTGTTGACCGCCGTTCTCAGTCCTAGGGCGACTCACGGCGGTGTACAACATATAAAAACAGTTTACAATAAACAATATTACAGCAAAATCAACATAACAATCAATAATACAGTTACACTGAATCATCCGCGCCGTCTCATCGTAGAATCATAAACCAAACTCGTTATCCATATTCCGTTCCGATCGTCATTGCCAATAGTTGTAGCACTTAGTCAAACGCCTTCTCAAATAACCATGTTTTTAGGCTCTTGCGAAATGCCATAAGGGAGGGCGCCTGTCTGATATCTGCAGGGAGGGCGTTCCACAGCCAGGGGGGCACCACCGAGAAGGCCCTATCTCTCGTCCCCGCCAGACGTGCCTGTGAGGCAGGCGGGATCAAGAGAAGGGCCTCCCCAGACGATCTCAAGGTCCTCGTGGGCTCATAGGCCGAGATGCGGTCAGAAAGGTATTTTGGGCCGGAACCGTTTAGGGCTTTGTAGGCCAACACCAGCACCTTGAATTGGGCCCGGTAGCAGATCGGCAGCCAGTGGAGCTGGAACAACAAGGGCGTTGTGGCCCGAACCATTTAGGGCTTTATAGGTCATGACCTACACCTTGAATTTGGCTCGGCAACTTATTGGCAGCCAATGAAACTATTTTAATAGGGGTGTTATATGAATAATCTATAAATATAAATTTGTTAGGGGCATCCAACGAGGAAACAAAACTCAAAAACCCCCCAACGAAACTTAACCAAAATT